ACGGACGGCGATGAACAGTGACGTGCGGACATCGGAAACGTCACAGTGGCAGCAGCTCGGAATATCGGGCTCCGGCGCGACGGCGGTGAGGCTCCGGCGCGGCGTCAGCGGTGCTATCCCGGGAAGAAAAAGGGAAAGAAAGAGAGAGAGGGAGAGAGAGAAAGGGGTCGGGTGAGGCTAAGGCTGAGGCTAGGGATTGAGGTGGTTGACGGCGAGGCACGGTGGCCGGCGGCGGAGCTCCGGCGGTGAGCTCCGACAAGGCTTGGCCGAGAGAGAACAAAAGAGGGAGAGAGATTTCGGGAGGAGAGAGAGAGAGTTCTGGCCAGATAGGGGTGAGAGGAGAGAGAAACAGGATTAAATTGGTCAAACAATAGGGGCTAGGGGCGCCAAGTGTCACAAATCTAGCCAAAATGACCATTTTACCCCTCATCCAAGGGTCCCCATTAATTCTTACCCAATAATTCATGGGCATTTTGGTCATTTGCTGCAATAATTAGGATAAGTCCAAATTTAATTAATTTCCTTAATTATCCCCCAAAATTCGGAACCAAAAATAGCTCAGGGGCAAAACTGTCATTTTTCCGGTCCCCGGTCGAAATTCCATTTTTCACCTATACCAATCCTAAATGTGCGTGGCCAACATAATGTGGTGTCGGAATCGCGAAATTCATCGTGCAAGCCCTCGGAAATCCATGTCAAAGTTTGAAGGGCAAAATCGTCAATTTTTTCAATTTTTGTCGAAATTCCAATTTTTGGCCATAACGACTCCTGGTATGCGTGGCCACCCTAAAATGGCGTCGGCCTCGAAAAATAACCTCATTTGGCCTCGAAAAGCGACGCTGGTATCCCGAGGGGTAAAATCGTAATTTTTTCACCCCCGGACCGAAATTCCCATTTTTACTCGTACTAACTCCAAATGTGTGTGGCCAGCATAATATGACGTAAGATTCCCAAAAATAGTCTCTTAAGCCTTCGAAAATCGACATCGAAATCCGGGCCCAATTCCGTGAACAAAACTCGCTAAATTTCTAATTTCAGGGTCTCTCATTAACGGGCGGCTGTTTAGGGGTTACGCGTATCGACTTAGGGTTATCCGAGTCATGACGGCCCCGATCATCGAGAGAATGAGAAATTATCACTAGTCCCAGAGGTCGCGATCGTTCGATTCCAGTTCAGGACTGGTTAGCCACGTGCACTTTCGATCGTGCAGAATCACCTGCGATCCTATTGTACGTCATTGGTCTTGGCCAAACCAAATCCATCACTATTCCTGAGATCGGCCCACGTTGGCCCAAAATATTCCCTCATCATTTCTCGTGATCGATGCCCGATTTACTATCGGGTCCCTGGTCCACGTACCGTTTTCCAAGCTAGCCATACCCCACTGATTAGTATCCCTAGAGTGATCAGCTCTGGGCGAGACTTAATAAAATGAAATGCGAAATAATGTCAATTTTATTGATCCCGGAATTACATCGAAATTCGGGCTGTTACAACTCTTCCCCCCTTACAAAAATTTCGTTCTCGAAATTTGCAATCTATCCTTATCTACTCAAACAACTGGGGGTGCTGACGTCTCATAGCTTCTTCGCTCTCCCAAGTGGCACCTTCCGTTCCGTGGTGCTCCCAGACAACCTTGACCATTGGGATCGTCTTATTCCTTAGCACACGATCTTTTCTATCTTCGATCCTGACTGGCGTTTCCACGTACGACACTTTGTCGTCCACGTCTATCTCCTCGTATCTTAGGACGTGAGTCGGATCTGGTTCATACTTTCTCAACATCGACACGCGGAAAACGTTGTGCACTTGAGATAGGTTAGGCGGCAAGGCAAGTCGGTAAGCCATATCACCAATCTTTTCCAATATTTCAAATGGTCCGACATACCTTGGACTGAGTTTTCCTTTCTTGCCGAATTGGGATAATCCTTTCATAGGCGACACCTTGAGAAATACATGATCTCCCACTTGAAACTCCAAGGGTCGTCGTCTCCTATCAACATAACTCTTTTGGCGACTCTGCGCTGTTCTTAGTCTATCTCGGATGATCTCGACGGCTTCCACCGTCTGCTGCACTAATTCTGGGCCCGTTATGCTTCGCTCACCTACTTCGTCTCAACATAACGGCGTTCTACAAGCTCTGCCGTATAAGGCTTCAAATGGTGCCATCTGAATGCTCTGCTGATAGCTATTGTTATAGGCAAATTCCACTAGATGCAGCTGTTCTTCCCATTTGCCTTGAAAGTCCAATACACAGGCTCTCAGCATATCCTCGAGAGTCTGAATCGTTCTTTCCGACTGGCAATCTGTCTGCGGATGATAGGCCGTACTGAATTGCAACTTTGTTCCCATAGCCACTTGCAGACTTTTTCAAAAATTTGCAGTAAACCTCGGGTCACGATCCGATGTGATTGTCACTGGTACTCCATGAAGACGTACTATTTGCCACATATATAATTCTGCATATTTTTCCAGCTCAAAATCCTTTCGCACTGCCAGAAAGTGCGCTGACTTAGTCAAACGATCCACTATGACCCATATAGAATCATGTCCTCTCTGGCTGCGCGGCAAACCCGTCACGAAATCCATCGTGATGTGCTCCCATTTCCACTCTGGGATCTCTAATGGTCTCAGCAGTCCTCCAGGCTTACAGTGTTGTGCCTTCACTTGTTGGCACGTCAAACACTTAGTCACATGCTTAGCCACATCAGCCTTCATTCCATTCTATTAATAATGTTGCCGCAAATTCTAATACATTTTCGTGCTGCCTGGATGGATACTATAATTGCTCCTGTGAGCTTCTGATAAAATTTCTTCCTTGAGCTCTGCGTCATCAGGCACACACATTCTTCCCCGGAACTTCAAGATTCCATTTTCACTCACTTGGAAATCTGACTTCCCCTTAGCGGTATCCAATCCGACAATCTTTTGGATCTCCCGGGTCTCAGACCATGCAGCCTCCTTGATTCTAGTTTGAATCTCCGGTTCAATTCGCAATGCGGCTAGCAGACTGGACATCTGGCTCACTTCGAACTTGAACTCTGAATCTCTGAGGCTTTTCAATAATGTCCACTCCTTGACCATTAGGTGCGCCATACTAGACTTGCGACTTAAGACATCTGCAACTCGATTCGCCTTCCCAGGATGATACAAAATGTTGCAATTATAGTCCTTTAAAAGCTCCATCTATCGGCGCTGTCTCATATTCAACTCTTTCTGCGAAAATAAGTACTTGAGGCTCTGATGATCGGTATAAATCTGGAATTTCTCTCCACACAAATAATGCCTCCAGATTTTGAGAGCGAATACGATCGCGGCTAATTCCAAGTCATGCGTCGGGTAATTCATCTCATGGGGCCTCAACTGGCGCGACGCATATGCCACCACTTTTCCATGTTGCATCAGGACACAACCAAGTCCTCTCAATGATGCATCGCACAGACCTCAAATCCTCCCGGTCCAGATGGAATGGTCAACATGGGAGCTGTTGTTAACCTGTGCTTCAGCTCTTGGAAGCTTCTCTTACATTTGTCATCTCATACGAACTTAGATTCCTTCTTCAACAATTGCGTCAACGGCATGGCTATCGACGAGAATCCTTCTACAAAACGTCGATAATAGCCAGCCAATCCCAAGACGCTTCGAATTTCTGTTACTGAGGTCGGCCTAGGCCACTTCATTACTGCCTCAATCTTAGCTGGGTCAACAGAAATTCCATCTCCGGAAACTATATGTCCAAGAAACGCCACTCTGTTTAACCAAAACTCGCATTTGCTGAACTTGGCGAACGGCTTGTGTTCTCTTAAAGTCCATAACACTTCTGCCAAGTGTACTTCATGCTCTTCAGGGCTCTTAGAGTACACTAGAATATCATCAATGAAGACTATTACAAATTGGTCCAGGAATTCTTTGAACACCCGATTCATTAAATCCATGAAAGCAGCTGGGGCGTTCGTTAGTCCAAAGGGCATAACTGAAAACTCATAATGCCCGTATCTGGTCCTAAAAGCAGTCTTAGGAATATCCTCGTTCCTGATCCTCAGCTGATGATACCCGGTCCTCAAATCTATCTTGGAAAATACTGAGGCTCCTTGTAGCTGATCGAACAAATCATCAATCCTCGGCAGCGGATACTTGTTCTTCACTGTCACTTGGTTCAACTGCCAGTAATCTATGCACAACCTCAGGGTTCCATCTTTCTTTCTTACAAACAGGACTGGCACTCCCTATGGAGACGCACTAGGGCAAATGAAACCCTTGTCCAACAATTTCTGTATTTGCACTTTCAGCTCCTTCAATTCCGATAGGGACATCCTATATGGTGCCTTCGAAATCGGTTCCGTCCCAGGGGCCAATTCAATCACAAACTCCACATCTCGCTCAGGCGGTAAACCCGGCAATTCCTGAGGAAACACCTCGGGGAAATCGCATACTACGGGTATATCCTCCAACTTAGGTTCCACCACTGTCGGATCCACTACATTTACCGGATGTCCTTCACACCCATCATCCAACAACTTGCTCACCTCAAGCGAGGAAATCCAAGGGATCGAGGTTCCTCCTCGGTTTCCCTGAAATACAAAACTAGGACATCATTCCGGATTAAATTGGATCGTCCTATCGCTGCAATCCAATACAGCTTTCTGTCGTACTAACCAGTCCATTCCAATGATCACATCGAAATCGAACATGGCCAATACTGCCAAGTCGATACTCTCTTCCTTGCCCCCAATAACTATCTTACAATTAGGGCATCCAAAAGAAACTAACACTCTATCATTCATGGGTGTCGACATACAAAGTACATTTTCAAGCAACACGGGTTTCATACCAACCAACTTAATAAACTGCTCTGAAATGAAAGAGTGGGTCGCCCCCGGATCAAACAATGCATAAGCGGCATGATCACATAAGGAAATCGTACCTGTGACCACGCCCGGCGCATTCTCAGCTTCTCTGCGCGCCATGGCATAGACCCTTCCTTGAACTGGTGGTCGACCCTAATTAGCCGGTGGGGGATTCCTGGCTTGATTCCCTGCTCGGGGCTGCTGCTGGGACATCATAGGTGGTCTTGAGGGTTGCATCTGAGGGCAACTTTTGATCTGGTGCTCCGTACTCCCACACCTGAAGCACACTCCAAACCTACTTGGCTGGGGACTTGGCTTCCCAATATTTCGCCTAACAGGGGGAACAAATGGTCTGTTGCCAACCATTGGCTTCTTCCCAAGACGACGGTTATCTCGATTCTGGGCAAACCGCGATCTCGAAGCGGCTGCCCTTTCCTGTTGATCCCGCTCCATAATCTGAGCCCGTCTATACATCTCCCCGTAGTCCTTAATGTCATGCGACAAAATCTGGCTTCGAAGATCCGGCTTCAGTCCGTCCCGGAATCTCCGAGCTCTATTTCTCAGATTTTCTACCATTGTCGATGCGAATTTCGCCAGTCTTGCAAACTCTGCTTCATACTGGTCAACAGTCATCTGACCTTGACGTAAACGCATAAATTCCATCAATTTCTTTTCCTGAGCATTTTTCGAGAAATACTTGTCATAAAAGTTCTCAACAAACACCGCCCAAGTCGGGGCTGTTCCGACAGGAAATACTCTGCCTTCTGTGGCATTCCACCAATCATTGGCACTATCCTGAAGTTGATAAACTACCAACGTTACCTTCTCTTCATTGGTGCACCCTAGCACCTTAAAAGTTTTCTCCAATTCCTCTACCCATCTTGGTGCCATCTCGGGGTAACCACGACCGTGAAATCTAGGCGGCTTCAACTTTATGAATTGCTCCACCAATTGGGGCATCTGCCTAACCCGTGCTGGTTGAGCTTTCTCCTGCTGGGCTTGATTTCCTCCATTACCAACAATCGGCGCGGCCTCAGCAGCCTGAGCATAAGCTGCGGTCCTTTCCTGGGCTTGCATACCCATTACACGACCTATTTCCCGCAAAGTATTCATCACTTCATCGAACCTTGAATCCCTAGCTTCACGGGTTCCCTCACTAGCCTGGGCCTAGGGCTCCTTTCCCCTTCTCCTACTTGGAGTTTGAATAATGTCCTCTAGTCGGCGGTCTCGAGCCTCTTGGCCTTCTGAACTAGGCTGACCCTGGGGTTCCTTACCCTTTCTTCTACTCATCCTCAAAATACAGCTACTCCACTACCTGCTATAATTCCATTAAGGAATTAAAAACTTAAACCAATCTATCCCAGTCTAAGTCCTAGGCAGGTATCAACACAACAATCAAACAACCAACATGCGGCCTAACAAGAGCCAATCAACACATCACCCAAGGAGTTCGCATACTCACCTCAGGTCCTGCCGCACCTGCACTTTACGGGTCATACCAATAAGCACTCAATCAAACACAGCTGTCAGGAGATGCATGTAGCACACAAGGTCACCCTACTGGCTACCCATGGTCTCATCGCTCCTTATCACTCCAGACGTCGATCAAGTTGGACCAAGTTAACATTGCTCTGATACCAATTCAAACGGGGATGTCACGCCCCGAACCTTACGGCACGCAAACATCCCTAGCTTGGCCGATTAATGGTGCAACGCTCCCAGGATGCGTCGCCGACCCAAACCCAATCAGAGAACAGACACAAGCGGAAATCACGTATATAAATAAATAAATATATATATATATATATATATATATATATATATATATATATACACCCGTACAGATAAATACATGAGACCACAGATAAAACATCATACAAACAGGAATGTACATTTTATCACTCACTGAAAACTCCTTTTTACAACGTACTTTATACAGATCAAAAGATTTAAACGAAGACAACAACTTCTAGCAGCCACCAGATCAAAAAGGTACTATGGCTGAGGAAAGGTGGGGTCAACTACAGGGAAGATCGCAGTCAAAAAGGTACTAGCTTCCCTAAAACGAGTTGGGACCTAAGCTAGGGCTCCCAATCCGGATCCGACCATTCTGAGGACTCCCCTGCCGGTCCCTCTTGAGGCTCGGACTTTTCGGAATCCATATCCGTTGCTGCTGCCTCTTCGTCTTCAGTATCCGGTTCAAGCTCTAGCTCAAGATAAAGCCCTAACTCATCATCGGGTCCTATCTCTACATCCGATCCTACCTCTGCTACTTCCCCATGGTCTTCATCAGAATCTAGATCCATGTCCTCCAGTTCGTCTTCTTCCTCGGCAGCTTGGTCTAGGTCTTCAGCTATCACCTGTGGCTCCTGTGGCTCTCCATCCATGGGCTCATCAATGCCATCTACATCGTAGACATCCTGAGGATTGATCACCTCGCCATCCGCATATATGGGTACCATCCATCCATCCTGACCAACTGGCGCATCAAAAGTCCTAAGGGGTTGCCCTAGGTTTCCGTCGGCATCTCTCAAGCACCAAGCCACATACTCCTGAGTCTGATGAAAATATTCATCCACGTTTACAAACACCACGGATCGGTATCTTACATATGATTCCCCATTCCCTGCGGGGTATGTACTTGTATACTGATGTATCTGTATAGGTATTCCAAAAAGCGATGGATTCGGCATCCTTACGGCTGGGGGTCTAAAAAGGTGGGTTATTACAACCGTGAGACGAATCTCAATGAGTATAACCCCTAAACCTAGGCTAGGCTAACATCCATTCTCCTGACCAGCAAAACATGCAAAATACAAACAATGATCTAGGCCCACGGGCCCAGATCATTCATACAATTGACCCTGCAGGTTAGGCATTTCATAAAAATACTCACGACACATACGCGAACACACCGGTCACACGTGCGCCATACGCATGACCATACCCATTAATGTTTGATTCGCATGCCAAACACCGAGTCCCGCACACTTGCACATTAGCCCATGCACTCTTATGCATGTAATGTCATTATTATGCCATGTTCATATTGGCTCACACTGCACACTGGCATATAGCTCATTTTAATTAATAACTGATCCAAAAACCACGGCCCAAAGGCTCACAACACTCCATGGCCGCCGTAAAACGCCCCCGCCCAAAGGTTCTAGCCTCGCTACAAAGTGCATGAGGCGCAACACCGATCTCCTTACGAACCGCAGCCTCGCTACAAAGTGCATGAGGATGGTCATCTTCCAGGTATACCGGGCATCGTCCTGCTACAAAGTGCATGAGGGCGGCACGACCCGAAGGCCAATATGTGATCACACGGCACACTGCCAATTTTTATCTGAACCCGGCGTAAATGCATCGGGCAATTAGGTGATCACATGCTCATGACAGGCACGCATTCTCGCACAATTTCCTCACATGCCTCATTCTCGGCATACACAATGCGTGACCAAGAAAAATGCAACATGAACATCAATAAACCACAGGCACTCAGTCAAATCCATATCACCACACAATGCCCAATTCACAAATAGCATGCTCACTTGGCCAATTAATACCGTGCGATCCAATTTCCAATACACAATTCAAGCCATCAATTGGCCAATCACACTCCGCACGATTCAGCCACACGAGCACGCAACATGGCATTTCACAATTAAACACGCTTGATTACCAATAAACCAACACCAATCATTCTGGGTAATCCCGCTATTCAAATTATAATTCTTGCTGTCCGATAAAATCCGGCACATTCCTCAACAATGCGGACAGCCACTATTTCCTCAATCCGAGCCCAATAATTATCTATAATAATCCCACTAAATTCCTCGGATTTTATTTCCACCAATCAGTCCTCAATCCAGACCGAAATATACACCGATAATACTTAAACCAGTTTAGAATACGCACTATCAGTCCTAATCCGGGTTTAGGAATTATACTCACTTAAATTCTAGACCACGACGACGAGGAACGGCGGCCGATCACCGGTGAACAGTGGAACTGGCGGCGGCGTTCCCGGCGGCGGCGGCGTTCGGACGGCGGTGTACGGACCGTACGGACTCCGTACGGACACTGTACGGACGGCGATGAACAATGACGTTCGGACATCGGAAACGTCACAGTGGCAGCAGCTCGGCCGATCGGGCTCTGGCGCAGCGGCGGTGAGGCTTCGGCGCGGCGGCGGCGGTGCTATCCCGGGAAGAAAAAGGGCTAGGGATTGAGGTGGTTGACGGCGAGGCACGGTGGTCGGTGGCGGCGCTCCGGCGGCCGGCGGTGAGCTTCGGCAAGGCTTGGCCGAGAGAGAACAAAAGAGGGAGAGAGATTTCGGGAGGAGAGAGAGAGAGAGTTCTGGCCAGATGGGGGTGAGAGGAGAGAGAAACAGGTTTAAATTGGTCAAATAATAAGGGCTAGGGGCGCCAAGTGTCACAAATCTAGCCAAAATGACCATTTTACCCCTCATCCAAGGGTCCCCATTAATTCTTACCCAATAATTCATGGGCATTTTGGTCATTTGCTGCAATAATTAGGATAAGTCCAAATTTAATTAATTTCCTTAATTATCCCCCAAAATTCGGAACCAAAAATAGCCCAGGGGCAAAACTGTCATTTTTCCGGTCCCGGGTCGAAATTTCATTTTTCACCTATACCAACCCTAAATGTGCGTGGCCAACATAATGTGGTGTCGGAATCACGAAATTCATCGCGCAAGCCCTCGGGAATCCACGTCAAAGTTTGAAGGGCAAAATCATCAATTTTTCCAATTTTTGTCGAAATTCCAATTTTTGGCCATAACGACTCCTGGTATGCGTGGCCACCCTAAAATGGCGTCGGCCTCGAAAAATAAACTCATTTGGCCTCGAAAAGCGACGCTGGTATCCCGAGGGGTAAAATCGTAATTTTTTCACCCCCGGACCGAAATTCCCATTTTTACTCGTACTAACTCCAAATGTGTGTGGCCAGCATAATATGACGTCAGATTTCCAAAAATAGTCTCTTAAGCCTTCGAAAATCGACATCGAAATCCGGGAACCAATTCCGTGAACAAAACTCGCTAAATTTCCAATTTCAGGGTCTCTCACTAACGGGCGGCTGTTTAGGGGTTACACGTATCGACTTAGGGTTATCCGAGTCATGACGGCCCCGATCATCGAGAGAATGAGAAATTATCACTAGTCCCAGAGGTCGCGATCGTTCGATTCCAGTTCAGGACTGGTTAGCCATGTGCACTTTCGGTCGTGCAGAATCACCTGCGATCCGATTGTACGTCGTTGGTCTTGGCCAAACCAAATCCATCACTTTTCCTGAGATCAGCCCACGTTGGCCCAAAATATTCCCTCATCATTTCTCGTGATCGATGCCCGATTTACTATCGGGTCCCTGGTCCACGTACCGTTTTCCCAGTTAGCCATACCCCACTGATTGATATCCCTAGAGTGATCAGCTCTGGGCGAGACTTAATAAAATGAAATGCGAAATAATGTTAATTTTATTGATCCCGGAATTACATCGAAATTCGGGCTGTTACACGACATCAACAAACTCCTCAAGCAAGGGCATAACTTAGGTAGGAATTTGGGGATTGTCAGAATTCTGCTCCATCACCATAATGGCAAAAAGCTCAGGCGCGTTTACTGTCTCTTCTTGAAATTCTGATCTGGACAGCAGATTATTCTTCACATCCTTTATTAAATCTAAAGGACATAGGGTAATGGTCCGACCATCCTTTTTGAAGTTGTAGGTATTTTTTGAAGCCATCATGTTGTGTCTTTCTGTCAAACTGCCACGGCCTCCCCAATAGAATATGACAAGCATCCATTAGGACCACATCACACTACACCTCATTAATGTAATTTTTTCCAATCGAAAATTGCACAAGACACCTCTTGCTTACCTTCACCTCGTTCCCTTTCCTAAGCCACGACAGCTTGTATGGTTGAGGATGATCTTCAGTTTTCAGCCCCAACTTCTCCACCATAATAGTGGCCACCACATTCTCGCAGCTCCCCCCGTCTATTATCATGCTGCATACTTTTCCTCCACTAGTGCACTTAGTATGAAAAATATTATGT